GTTTTTGGAAGTATGGAGACTTGGCATTTCAAACTTGGCTGCATAAAATTTTTTTAAACCCTCTGCATCCCATCTTCTCATCAACAGCCCCTGCTCTTCTTTGGCCCCATATGAGTCTTTCCCCATCTCCCTCCAGGTCTTTAACCTAAGTCAGCCCATGGGTAGGCAAACTAAGGCCCGGGGGCCAGATGCGGCCAAATCGCCTTCTAAATCCGGCTTGCAGATGGTCCGGGAATCAAGTGTGTTTTTACATGAGTAGAATGTGTCCTTTATTTAAAATGCATCTCTGGGTTATTTGTGGGGCCTGCCTGGTGTTTTCACATGGGCAGAAACTGTGTTTTTATTTAAAAAGCATCTCTGGGTTATTTGTGGGACATAGGAATGTGTTCCTTTTTTTTCCTTTTTCATAATATAGTCCGGCCCCCACAAGGTCTGAGGGACAGCGGACCGGCCCCTGCTGAAAAAGTTTGCTGACCCCTGCCTCAGCCGCTATGGCCCTCAAGCCCCTCTTATTCCCTCGCCTCCATGCACACACTTCCTGCCCCTAGTCTATGGGACCATTTTCTTCCAGAGCTAAAATTAAGGGAGGGGAGACGCAGACAGGTTCTAGCCCCCTTAGCAATTAACTATTAAAAAAAAAAAAAAAGAAAGGAGACCACAGGGAGAGTCATGATTTGGCTAAAATTGGCAGGAGTTGTCTTTGTCCATGGAGTTTTCTTGGCAGGGATACTGGAGTGGCTTGCCGGTTCCTGCTCCAGGTGGATCACGTTTGGTCAAAACTCTCCACTATGACCTGTCCTCTTGAGTGGCCCTGCACGGCATAGCTCATAGCCTTCTCTGAGTTATTCAAGCCCCTTCGCCCACGGCAAGGCAGTGATCCATGAAGTGAGAGCTGGACCATCAGGAAGGCTGATTGCCGAAGAATTGATGCTTTGAATTATGGTCCTGGAGGAGGACTCTGGAGAGTCCCATGGACTGCAAGAAGATCCAACCTATCCATTCTGAAGGAAATCAGCCCTGAGTGCTCACTGGAAGGACAGATCCTGAAGCTGAGGCTCCAAGACTTTGGCCACCTCATGAGAAGAGAAGACTCCCTGGAAAAGACCCTGATGTTGGGAAAGATGGAGGGCACAAGGAGAAGGGGACGACGGAGGAAGAGATGGTTGGGCAGTGTTCTCGAAGCTACCAGCATGAGTTTGACCAAACTGTGGGAGGCAGTGGAAGACAGGAGTGCCTGGTGTGCTCTGGTCCAGGGGGTCACGAAGAATCAGACACGACTAAACAACTAAACAACAACAACAAGCAGGAGTTGGGGGTGCGGATTATGGATTTCATTAAGAACTCCCCTACTTCTCCTTCAGTCGAACCTTTCACTTCCACTACATCAGTTGTACTGAATTTTCTGCCTCCTGTGACTGACTTTTCCTCTTAGCAGTGTCAGCATTCACCAACATTCTGCAGCATATAGAATCGTAAGAGTTGGAAGGGACCCTGAGGATCATCTAGTCCAACCCCCTGCAATGCAGGAGTAGGCAGCTGTCCCTTACAGGGACTGAACCTGCAACCTTGGGGTTATCCGCACCATGCTCTAACCAATCACAGCAAGTCAATCCATGGGGTGGGAGCTTTCAGTCAGGGAATAGCCAGTTTTTAGGCTGCGGTCACTGGAATTGCAAATCGGTGCCACTCCCCTAGATTTGAATCGTATTGCTGTATTGTTTTTAACACTCGATTGGGAAACTCAGCCAGATGGGTGGGGTATTATTAATAATAATAATAATAATAATAATAATAATAATAATATAATAATTTTGAGCAAGGTTTTTTAGAGCAAGGTTTTTCCCCCACCCTGAGCAGTCCAGCCCTATCAGAAAGAACAAAGTTCTGCGACCTTTTGTCTGATGAAACTAAGAGCAGATTGGAAGAAAACTTTTTTAAATGGTGGTAGGGAGGGACATTCAAATTGTGCCCAAAAACATTTATGCACGGAAAGGAGCCCTGGGACTGCAAACCTGCTGGAATAATCCCACTGGCACCAAGCCGCGTTGAGCAAGACTCGGCAACACATTGCAACAGCAGGCCGAGGGAAATGAATCTGCTCAGCTGAACGTTGCATCAGAGTGCCCTAGAGGAAGAGAGCCTTTCATGGGAACAGAAGCGTTCTCAACTAGCAGCTAACTTCTTTCTTCTTTTGAGAGGCTGCAATGCACATTCCTAGGAGAGGCCGTCATTTGCATCATCCCACAGACCCGAGAGTGGACTGGGTCATCACCCTACGACCTTCCAGTACCGGAAAACGGGTCAAAGTACAACTATTGAAGGGGAGCGCAACCATTACGGCATTCACAACGGCTTAAAATTTCAGGTGCCCACAATTCCCACTAAGTTGAATGCCAAGGCAGGAAGACTCTGGAGGCCCCACGGTGAGCTGAGGCTCCACGGTCTATGGGCGCGCCACCCCAGGGACCCAAGCGGCTTCCTCTGCCACTGGGCCTATGGCACATAAGCAGATTGTTGTTGTTTAGTCATTTAGTCGTGTCCCGACTCTTCGTGACCCCCTGGACCAGAGCACGCCAGGCACTCCTGTCTTCCACTGCCTCCCGCAGTTTGGTCAGACTCATGTTTGTGGCTTCGAGAACACTGTCCCACCATCTCGTCCTCTGCCGTCCCCTTCTCCTTGTGCCCTCCATCTTTCCCAACATCAGGGTCTTTTCCAGGGAGTCTTCTCTTCTCATGAGGTGGCCAAAGTCTTGGAGCCTCAGCTTCAGGATCTGTCCTTCCAGTGAGCACTCAGGGCTGATTCCTTCAGAATGGAGAGGTTGGATCTTCTTGCAGTCCATGGGACTCTCAAGAGTCTCCTCCAGCACCAGAATTCAAAAGCATCCATTCTTCGGCGATCAGCCTTCTTTATGGTCCAGCTCTCACTTCCATACATCGCTAGTGGGAAAACCATGGCTTTAACTATAAGGACCTTTGTTGGCAAGGTGATGTCTCTGCTTTTTTAAGATGCTTCTAGGGTTGTCGTTGCTTTTCTCCCAAGAAGAAGGTGTCTTTTAATTTCGTGACTGCTGTCATGGGCAGATAGATACCAGGAAATGAAATGCTAAGGCCAACATGGGGTGAAGGAAGCAAGTCACAGTGGCTCGGTTTGCACATGACACAAAGCCAATTCAAGGCCTATCACGAATGTGTAGACTCCCAGAGAGGAAATGGCGGCTGCTTTACTCATCCTCTGGTCCTGCTGGCGATGTGCTCCTATGAGCTATGCCATGGTTTGGATTAGCATGTTGCACACGAGCCCAGGCTTGTGCTTTGTCTGCTACAGACAAGTGGCGAGTCACAGAACAAACCTTAGCTACAGCATGTGGTTTACCTGAAGATGACTACTACTACTACTACTACTAATAATAATAATAATAAAATTTATTTCTATCCTGCCCTCCCCAGCCAAGACTGGGCTCAGGGCGGCTAACACCCAATTATAAAAACAATTGATGGAAATGCAACGTAAAAACAAGATTAAAATACATTAAAATATTAAATTCAGCCTCTAGGGAACCTGTGCCCCCCCAGATGTTCAAGAACCCCAGCTGACCCCCCCCAGCATAGCCAATGGTCAGGGGAGTGGGTGAGAATTACCGTATTTTTCGCTCTATAGGACGCACTTTTTTCGCTCCAAAAATGAAGGGTAAATATGTGTGCGTCCAATGGGGCGAATGCAGGCTTTCGCTGAAGCCTGGAGAGCGAGGGGGGGTTGGTGCGCACCCAACCCCTCTCGCGTTCCAGGCTTCAGGAAGCTATCCGCAAGCCTTGGGAGCGCGACGGGAGTGCCCGCCGCGCTCCCAAGGCTTGCGGATAGCAGCCTGCTTCACGAAGCCCGGGGATCGCTTTGCAGCGCACCCCAGGCTTCAGGCAGATATTCGCAAGCCTTGGGAAGCCCGGCAGGAACTCCCGCCGGGCTCCCAAGGCTTGCGGATAGCAGCCTGCATCCTGGAGAGCGCAGAGCTGGGCTCCCTGGGCTTCGGGCAACTATCTGCAAGCCTTCTGAGCGCGGCGGGAGTTCCCGTCGGGCTCCGAAGGCTTGCGGATAGCAGCCTGTTCTGGGGGCTGGGGTCGGGGGAAGCTCGGGCTTCCCCCGCCCCAGCCCTGTGCCGGGGGAGGGGAATAAATTTGTTTTTCTTTATTACCCCCCCCCAAAAAAACTAGGTGTGCCCTATGGGCCGGTGCGCCCTATAGAGCAAAAAATACGATATAGTCCAGCAAAATCTGGAGGGACACATGCTCCCCATCCATGGCTCTATGGGTATGGGGAAGAAGGACATACAATGGGTCACTCATTCATCAATCTGGCTCAGATGGTGACCCTGGAGGTTCCAGGACTTTATCCTGCTGGTGGAGGCGGGAGGAAGGGAGAAATCACATCTTTCATCCTGAAACTTGGAGATTGAAAGATGGCTGTGGCGCATCGGGCACTATGGGGCTCAGAGCACGGGCCACTGATTCCCAACTCTCTAGACTGCTGGAATCGCAGGCAGTTGGAGGGAAGTGCAAGGATACTTCCAAGCCTAAATTCTCCTGGTCCTGGGAAACAGGACTTCAGAGAACAGACCCCATGCCTCTACCTGCTGCAAGGCTCACTCAAGCCTGGACAAACTGCTTTTGAAGGAAACCACGAGACTCTTCCGCTGTATATTGAGGCCATTTGTCCCTGGCTACTTGCCATCCTGTTAAGTCATGAGGAGTTGGGTCTTGTCAACCGCTGGACCCTGATACACAAAAGAGATCTCTTCTTCAAGACAGCATAGAGTGAAACTATGGGATTCACTCCCGCAAGGGGGCAGAGATGACCACTGACTTGGACTACCCAGGGCCACACTGCTCACTTGGGTAGAGCGTGAGACTCTTCTCTTGGGTAGCAGGGCCAACAAAGACCCCTCTCTGCCCCCAAACCTTGGAGAACTGCTCCCAGTTGGAGGAGACAATGCCGGGCCAGTGTGAGGCAGTTTTTTGCGTTCAGACGCTCTTACCGTAACAAACGCGTCTGCTGCCTCTTGCGGATCGACGGGTTGGACTCAAAGACGTGAGGGCGTTTCCTTTTCTTGCCCGTCGCCACGGCAGCGGCAGCGGCCATTCCCACAGGGCCTGCGGACAAGAGGTGGGTTTTGAATATTCGGTGGGCCACAGGCTGAAGACACCATAGGCCATAAATGCTACAGCAAGCTAATCATGAGATGCCACAGAATATCTAAGAGGTTAAGAAAAGCTGAACAAATCCATGTTTATTACATAGTTATGCACGGGTAACTTCAAGGTTGTATTGCTGCAATGTGCCCTAAGGTACCAACATATAAGACCCTGTACAATTTCTCAGGGAACAGGATCACCGCTGAGATATGACAGGTGCACCCATCTGTGTTTTCCCAAAACAACTGGAGAGTCTTTCGTATCGTTTCTAAAACTATATTTAGTTGGATTTTTGTATTGTTTCGAAACTATTTTTTAGCTGTGCTTATGGTATATTTGCAAACTGCCTCATGTGAAAGGCAATTCGTAAGTTAATTAAATAATGACGATGATGTATCTGTTGGTCTTTAAAGTTGGCTGCAACTTTAAGAACTGCAACTTTATGAATGTGTGATTGAGCTTGCTTTTCCCTCCTCCTCCCACTCCTTTTTCCTCACGTGTCGTGCTCTTTTAGGTTGTGAATGTGAAGGTGGGGACTGTCTCATAGCTAATTTCCACAAGCCACTCTGAGAACCTTTTTGGCTAAAGAGTGGAGTATAAATTCTGCAAATAAATAAACAGCACCATTAGACTAATACAACTACCCTTCCGTATATAATTTCAACAGCAATTATTTCACGCAGTATCTTTCTCCATGCATATGTTCCAAAATCACCCTACAGGTTATTATTCATCGTAAACAGGATGGATTTTGAAGCCTAACGAAGTTAGAACCCTAACATGGAGATATCAGATGAGAAAGAAACATTGTCAGTTGCAATTGCTGCACTGCCCTCTGCTGGTTGCAGCTTCACACTAGAAAATCTGGCTTGTGGACGTGTGTAAAATGTCCCCAAAAATGAAGATGAGTGGGGAAAGGGTTCCCCTTCCTGGGACTGGTTTTTAAAAGACAAGATTCCAGGGCAGTTCTGCCAGCAAGGTATGGACCGGACAAATCACGAAAGAGTGTGTGTCTGCATTAGTCCTTTGCTCAAATGTACGATTGTTTTGAAATAAATTGCATTGCTCCTTCATCTTAATCCTTCACTAATCAGAGCTTTTGAGGGGAGGGGTGAAGAGATCTTTTTGCTCAGTTTAACATGCTGTTTATTCAATATACTAAGAGAGAATTCGTCCTCTATATGCAGATCCTTGTATAGTCAAAAGGCACCATACAATACGATACGATAATCTTTATCGTCATTGTCCCATACAGAACAACGAAACTGAAAAAATCTACATCAGACATTCAAAACCCCACAAGCCTGCTATCCCAGCTATCTCAGCCTGGTTGTTGTTGTTGTTGTTTAGTCGTTTAGTCGTGTCCGACTCTTCGTGACCCCCTGGACCAGAGCAGGCCAGGCACCTCTGTCCTCCACTACCTCCCGCAGTTTGGTCAAACTCATGCTGGTAACCTCGAAAACACTATCCAACCATCTCGTCCTCTGTCGCCCCCTTCTCCTTGTGCCCTCCATCTTTCCCAGCATCAGTGTCTTTTCCAGGGAGTCTTCTCTTCTCATGAGATGGCCAAAGTCTTGGAGCCTCAGCTTCAGGATCTGTCCTTCCAGTGAGCACGCAGGGCTGATTTCCTTAAGAATGGAGAGGTTTGATCTTCTTGCAGTCCATGGGACTCTCAAGAGTCTTCTCCAGCACCATAGCCCCCTAAAAACTCTGATACCCCATAATTAAATACAATATACTCCATAGAGACTACCTTACGCAGCGTTTAAAACCAAAATCGCATTTGGGTAGAAATTGTTTCTCAGGCTGCTAGTCCTAGTCTTTATAACCCTGTACCTTCTTCCAGAGCGATGCGGGTGGTGCTGTGGGTTAAACCACAGAGCCTAGGGCCGTATACCTTCCCGCCAGAGCGGTACATATTTATCTACTTGCACTTTGACATGCTTTCGAACTGCTAGCTGGGCAGAAGCAGGGACCGAGCAACGGGAGCTCACTCAGTCGCAGGGATTCGAACCGCCGACCTTCTGATCGGCAAGCCCTAGGCTCAGTGGTTTAGACCACAGCGCCACCTGCATCCCTCAAAATAGCTAGATGCACTTAAACTGCCCAAACTGTTCAGTTGACCCTTGTGAAAAATCAACACTGATAGAAAAAGCCCTTCCCTTTCGCATCAGTCTCTGAAGCCAGAAGTGACGCTCGCACCCAGGGATACGTAAATAGATTGCGGGTGGTTATCAGAACATAATCCAACCATTGAAAAAATGAACGGGGCAGAGTATTTTCTAAGGGTGCAGCGCTCTTTGTGAATCAAGAGGTTGTTTTGTTTTGTTTTTTTGCTTTTCATGCTTGTTACATGCCTAAGGGACTGGAAAAAGCCTCTGTGACTGGCAAGTAAACCCCACTGAAGTCTTCTCAGAGTTTGGAGAACTTACTTATTTTTTGCTCTATAATACTCACTTTTTCCCTCCTAAAAAGTAAGGGGAAATGTGTGTGCGTCTTATGGAGCAAATGCAGGCTGCGCAGCTATCCCAGAAGCCAGAACAGCAAGAGGGATTGCTGCTTTCACTGCACAGCGATTCCTCTTGCTGTTCTGGCTTCTGAGATTCTGAATATTTTTTTTTTCTTGTTTTCCTCCTCCAAAAACTAGGTGCGTCTTGTGGTCTGGTGCATCTTATAGAGCGAAAAATACTGTACATCCTGAAATATTAACATGGCCACATCCTTTGACCTGGAAAGGGACCCAAGGAAATGCTTCCGTGCTCAGTACAGTGATACCTCTGTATCACTGTACGGGATCCATTCTGGAGGCCCGTTCTCAACATGAAAGGAATGCAACCCACAGCGGCGCGTCTGCGCATGCACGGGTTGCGATTTGCTGCTTCTGCACATGACGTCATTTTGCGCGTCTGCGCATATGGCGAAACTCAGAAGTAACCCTTTCCGGTACTTCCAGGTCGCAACCTGAAAGAACATAACATGAAGCGGACGTAACATGAGTTATGACTATACGAGTATTTTCTTCCACCAAAATAAAAAAAAAACTATGGGTATCAATTCTAACATTTGGGATCCCCTAAGAATTTTGGGCCTCCTCCTTGGGCACCTGTGGCCAACTCTGCACTTCCTAGTCAAGTCTTGATGTGAAAGAGAGGAAGAAATGCTATGCCCCTTTAGGGCACATAGGGCAAGTGGGGGGAAACAGGATAGGGGGCCAGCAATGTACCTGCAGCGGCCAGGTGGGCGGTCACCTCATCAGTAGCCGTGGAGTTGAGGATGTCCGAGTCGTCGTAGGAAGTGTCCTCGGGGGAAGAGGGCGAGTCTTCGTCCGCACTGAGCATGCTGTGCTCCGTGTACGTGGCCACGTGGACCTGCTGCACCTGTTGGGCCACCGCATGGGCCTCGATGGTGGCCATGTGCTCCGTCTGCGTCACCGTGTGTTCCTCCATCGGTAGCTACTGCTAGAGGAAAGGAGATACAGGAGGGGAGAGAAATCAGGCGGAGGAAGAAAAAGTGAAGTCTGAAACCTCCATTCCTGACACTTATTTCAAAGATCAGAACCTAGAACAGGTGGGGATCTTGAAGAGGTGGAATCACAGGTTGGGAAAGCACTGGTGTGCTCAGGACCTGCTTTCGGGAGCCCTATGGGCATCTTGTTGGCCACTGTAAGTACAGGGCTGGGGGGGCCTTTGCTCTGCTCCAACAGTCAAGCTTTTCTTATGTTCTTATGACTGCTGAAACTGCATTGCGACCTGACTGGCTAGTGACAAAAAACGCAGGCTGAGGCGTCTCAGGAGCCACTGGCTGAGCATGGTCCCTGATGTGACTGTCTCCCTGCCCCTAGATTCAGGTAGGCAGCCGTGTTGGTCTGACAGTAGAAATATATAAGAAAATAAAAAATTGCCCAGTAGCACCTTAGAGACCAACTAAGTTTGTTCTTGGTATGTGCTTTCGTGTGCATTCGAAAGCTCATACCAAGAACAAACTTAGTTGGTCTCTGTCAGGGAACTGCCATCGGAGCTAGAGGCGGAGGGAAGGGTCCAGAGGGATGCCGGAGAGGGTCCCAGTAGGGAGAGAGGCAGCCCATCTGCGGGGGAAGGAAATCAGCGTAACACCAGTGGAGAAGGGGGGCAGATGGGGGAATCGGAGAGGAGGCTCCAGGACTCCTCGCCGGAGACCAGCGGAGAGAGTACGGGTACTCCGCTGCCCACGCCCTCCCTGCGCAGAAGACTTCCGCGCAGGGAGAGTAGGAGGAGACTTGGCGTCAAAGAGCATTTATGCTGGAAAAGGTTCAAGAAACGCCCACTGACGGATTCTGCCAGCGACTGAGACAGTCACGATGCTGGAGGTTGTCCAGACAGAAAGGGTTCAATCAGGTAACCTAGCCAGGAGTGGCGGCAACTTACGCACGAGCAACCCCTAGAACCATTACAGTCTCTAAGGTGCTACTGGACAATTTTTTATATATATATATATCCCCTCTCCCTATTCATAGAATCATAGAATTATAGAGTTGGAAGGGACTCTGTGGGCCATCTATTCTAACCCCTGCAATGCAGGAATCTCAACTAAAGCATCCATGACAGAGGGCCGTCCGATCTCTGCTTAGAAACCTCCGAGGAAGGAGAGTCCACAACCTCCTGAGGGAGACTGTCAATAATAATAATAATAATAATAATAATAATAATAATAATAATAATAATTTATTTATTATACCCCGCCCATCTGGCTAGGTTTCCCCAGTCACTCTGGGTGGCTTTCAACAAAAAATTAAAATACAATAGTCTCTTAAACATTAAAAGCTTCCCTAAACAGGGCTGCCTTCAGATGTCTTCTAAAAGTCTGGTAGTTGTTCTTCTCTTTGCCATCTGGTGGGAGGGCGTTCCGCAGGGCGGGCACCACTACCGAGAAGGCCCTCTGCCTGGTTCCCTGTAGCCTCCCTTCTCACAATGAGAGAACCGCAAGAAGGCCCTCGGCGCTGGACCTCAGTGTCCGGGCTGAACGATGGGGGTGGAGACGCTCCTTCAGGTATACTGGATTTATAATTAAAAGACAAGGAACGGCTCCTCTTTCAGACATCAGAGCAACCCCTCTTCAGGGGCGTAATCTAAAACCCGAAGTTAAAACGGCACTGTAACTTAAAATCCTAAAGAACAGGATGAAGGTCTCATTCAGTATTCATGCGTTTCCTTTCCCAAGCAGTCAGGTTTCATGTTATACATGTGGTGTGAAGGTCGCTAATGCACCTTAAACCATTGGGTTGTGCCCTGATTATTCACCGTTATAACAGAGGCAGTGTGGCTCATCGGATGTACAAACCAGGCATGATCCTTCAGGGGCAATCTGTTGGGGGCTGAATGCTGGCAGTAAGTTAGGCCAGAGCCAAGTGGACCACTTCACTTTCTCTACCACCCGCCCCACCCTAGTGCCAGGAGAAGGAAGATCAGTCTCGCCAGAGGTCTGAACTAAGGCAGTCATACCTCGGGTTACAGCCGCTTCAGGTTGCTTTTTTTTGGGTTACAGACCGCCGAAACCCGGAAGTACCGGAACAGGTTACTTCCAGGTTTTGGCAGTCGCACATGCACAGAAGCGCTAAATCGCGCTTTGCACATGTGCAGAAGCGCCGAATCGCAACCCGCACGTGCACAGACGCAGGTTGCGAACGCTGCGGGTTGCAGGCATGCATCCCGCACGGATCACGTTCGCAAACTGTAATTGCTTGCAGGACATCCCCACTCCTTCCATCGCTTTATTAATGTAAGAACATAAGAAAAGCCTGCTGGATCAGGCCAGGGGCCAGTCATGCCCAGAATCCTGTTCTCACAGTGGCCAACCAGATCCCTGTGGTAAACCCACAAGCTGGATGCGAGCGCAAGAGCAACTCTTCCCCTCCTGTGATTTCTTGCAGCCGATATTCGGAATCATTGCTGCCTCCCAACTTTGGAAGCAGAGCAGAGCCTTCATAGCTAGTAGCCACTGGAGTCATCTCCTCCATTAATTTGTCTAATCCTCTTTTAAAACTGTCCAAGTCAGGCGCCGTGACTGTCTCTTGTGGGAGGGAGTTCCATAGTTCAACTATGTGCAGCGTGGAAGAAATACCTTCTTTTTTTCTGTCCTGAACCAACACTCAGCTTCGTTCGAGATCCACAAGTTCAAAGTGGTGCGTGCTCTGGTTATCTCCCGCTTGGAGTACTGCAATGCGCTCTACGTCGGGATACCTTTGAAGGTGACCCAGAAACTACAACTAATCCAGAATGCGGCAGCTAGACTGGTAACTGGGAGCGGCCACCGAGACCACATAACACCGGTCTTGAAAGACCTGCACTGGCTCCCAGTACGTTTCCGAGCACAATTCAAAGTGTTGGTGCTGACCTTGAAAGCCATAAATGGCCTCGGTCCGGTATATCTGAAGGTTACAGGGAACCAGGCAGAGGGCCTTCTTGGTAGTGGCACCCACCCTGTGGAACGCCCTCCCACCAGATGTCAAAGAGAACAGCTACCACCAGACTTTTAGAAGACATCTGAAGGCAGCCATGTTTAGGGAAGCTTTTAATGTTTGATGCATTACTGTATTTTAATATTTTGTTGGAAGCTGCCCAGAGTGGCTGGGGAAGCCGAGCCAGATGGGCAGGGTATAAATAATAATAATAATAATAATAATAATAATAATAATATAATAAAGAAGAAGAAGAAGTCGTCTTGCAAGAAAGGGAGAAAGACCTCTCTGCATTCTCTATGCCAGGCTTCCTCAAACTCGGCCCTCCAGATGTTTTTGAGACTACAATTCCCATCATCCCTGACCACTGGTCCTGCCAGCTAGGGATCATGGGAGTTGTAGGCCAGAAACATCTGGAGGCCTGAGTTTGAGGAAGCCTGCTCTGTGCCATAGCACAATTTTTATGAATTTCTATCATGTCCACCCTCTTCTTCATGGAGGAACTACTCCACTCCATCTCCTTGATCATTTTCGGTTACCCTTTTCTGAACCTTCTCCAACACTGCAATGTCCTTTTTAAGTTGTGGCTATTAGAACTATACACAATATTCCAACTGCAGTTGCTCAATAGGTTTGTATTATGGCATTATAATACTGACAGTTTTTATTTTCAGTCCCTTTCCTAATGATCCCTAGCAACAGAAAGCAACCACACACACAGAACGAGATTTCTAAGAATACTTCAGAATGGAGAGCAGATGTGGGGGTGGAATGGGAAATGGGCTTTTGTATCCTTTGTCTTGGGTTCCGTGTCCGTTTTCTAAGATGCTGCTATGCCAAGTTTTTTTTTATAATAAATATATGAAACACACACAAAACACTGCAGTTGCACTGTATAAAAAGAATCGCAGAACGCTAAAAGCTAACAATCCATTTTCTTTGTAATAACAAAGACTAATTAGCCTTCAGTTGCCAATTAGTCCCCGCAAGTTTGGTAAGATTACTGATGGGGTTACATAACTAGAAGCTTATGTTGCAAGGCTGTGTGGGTGCTAAAAATTACCTGTTCTTAAACTGATAAAATTTAGTGAAAACAGAATGCGAAAATACAGCTTTTGTGCTCATCGAGCTGTGCGCATAGCTCAAAATGCTTGAGAACCTAACGTCGGGTGGACAATATGAGAGATGGATGGGGCCATGCTCTGGTGTGGTCCAATAAAACTTTGACTAAACCTGTGGGTTCCATCTGATGCTGATTGCAGACATCCGTTTGTGCAACTCTCCCCTCTCCTCTCCCCTGAAGCCGCCCTGCCCAACATCTTCTCCAGAGGTTTGGAGGACTTTCTGGAGCAGATTGTGAGGGTGCCCATGGAGAGGAAAGTAAACTCCCTTTTTTAAGTAGAACTCCCCAGGCTCAGTGTCTGGATGCAACTCCATTTGTTTACCCAGACATGCGAACAGAATTTGGGTTGTTCTGAAATACGGGTAAAGGTAAAGGGACCCCTGACCATTAGGTCCAGTCGTGGCCGACTCTGGGGTTGCGGCGCTCATCTCGCTTTACTGGCCGAGGGAGCCGGCGTACAGCTTCCGGGTCATGTGGCCAGCAGGACTAAGCTGCTTCTGGTGAACCAGAGCAGCACACGGAAACGCCGTTTAACTTCCCGCCGGAGCGGTACCTACTTATCTACTTGGCACTTTGACGTGCTTTCGAACTGCTAGGTTGGCAGGAGCAGGGACCGAGCAACGGGAGCTCACCCCGTCGCGGGGATTCGAACCGCCAACTTTCTGATCAGCAAGTCCTAGGGTCTGTGGTTTAACCCACAGCGCCATCCGTGTCCCCGAAATATGGGTACCATATCCTTAATTCCCCAAGAACTCTAGTGCTGGTGAAGGGCGGGGGGGGGCGTGTTCCAAGCCCTGAAGGATTCAAACCCTTTCACAGCATTTTTCATCGCTTGGGTAGGGGAAGCAGACGACTGCTGCAGAGGCCTCAGACCCCACAGGTGCTGTGCTTGTGCACATGAA